TTTCCCATGGGAAATTGATGGTTATCTGTTCAGAATAACGTTATACAATACGACATTTGATAGATGAAAACCTTGAATTTCTATTGGTTATAGGTAATATGTAATGAAATGTAATAGAGAACTATCAACGAATTGTGAAAGAGAGGATGTGACAAGTAGGTGAGGCAGGAGGGTCTGTTTGAGCAATAAAGATTTTATAGAGTATTTTACATTTAATTTCGTACATTTCCAAGGGTTGATGGATAAAATAGAGATGAAACATGCTAAGACAAAATGTGTCACGTGCATCGCAATAGTGGAAATTGAGTATTTTTTTAATATATTTCCTTGTAGAATTAAGAACTTAAAACTTATTAACTATTAAAATATGGATTATTAGCTAAGATTTTTTGCTATTCTAATTGGTATAACATAAACAAAAAGTAATATAATAAAGTTTTGAATGTAAGACACTAAAACCTTGTGTCATGCACAGTAAAGGCACCCATAGAGAAAGGGTTAAACCTGGAATATATGGCAAAAGAATAAAAAAGGAAGCTTTATGAAAAAATGTGGGGTGACACATGCAGGAATTGACTATAATTTAAATATTTTTAATTGTGTACCTTGAATGTTATTTATTATTTTAACATTATATGCATGTGCCGAGGAATAATATTCATGTTGATATTTCTGTTGATTATATTGGTTAAATTGGTGAAGTGTTTATCTAGTTTTATAAAATTTATTAAAATGGATTATTTTGAGAATAAGTAGTGATGAATAAAATATAAAATGATGTTAGTATCTTTAGCAGAGAATATTTATTTTAATCAGGCATTATAATAGTAGACTTTGTCTTTTCCAATTTGACTAATTTCTTTTAATGTTTACTCTTTAGGCATTAGTGCATGTTTTGCCTTATTTGTATTATTTATGTCAAATCTTCTTTGTTTATGTCAGCCACTCAGTATGGAAGGAGGCCTGGCATGTTCAGGTGGTTAGGGTGCTTGACTCGCAATCTGAGGGTCTTGGGTTCGATTCCCCGTCCCACCAAACATGCTTGACCTTTCATCATGGGGCTTTAGAATGTGACAGTCAATCCCACTATTTGTTGGTAAAAGAGTAGCCCAAGAGTTTTCAGTGGGTGGTGATGACTAGTTGCCTTTCCTTTAGTGTTTCACTGCTAAATTAGGGATGGCTAGTTTAGATAGCCCTCGTATAGCTTTGTGCAAAATTCTAAAACCAAACCAGTATGGAAGGCTCTGGTAAAAGTGCTGAAAGCTCCCAAATAAAAGTACTTTAGCATAGAGAAAATTGTGTATAATTCTACATAACTATGAGCATAATTATTGAGCACTATTGATTTAATATTAGTTTATTATTATATATAGTTAACTCATTTCAACCTGGGCTCGGTCCCTGGGACCGACCCCGTAACCATTTTGTGCTTGTTATAGTT